CCAGCCTGGGCTACCAAGTGAGTTCCAGGAAAGGCGCAAAGCTACACAGAGAAACCCTGTCTCGAAAAACAAAAAAAAAAAAAAAAAAAAAAGAAGAAAAGTTAAATACATGTTCACATTTTAAAGGTCAAAATTCTATAGACTGTAAGTGTACATTAGAATCCCTGAAATTCCAGCTCTCTAAAATGACTGGTTTAAGTAGTTTTTTTTTGTTTTTTTTTTTTGTTTGTTTGTTTGTTTGTTTTGTTTTATTTTGTTTTGAGAATAAGGTTTCTCTGTTCAACAGCCCGGGTGTCCTGGAACTCACAGAGATCCGCCTGCCTCTGCCTCCAGAGTGCTGGGATTAAAGGCATGCGCCACCACCACCACCACCTGGCTTATTTTATGACTTTCAAGTATCTCATTTTCTTTAGAGATCATATGATTATATTCTCATAGGGTTTTTTTTTTTTTTTTGCTTTAATGATATGTTTTTGACCTTTAAAATCTTTTATTAACAAAATTTTTATTGTTTTTTGTTTTTTAGAAAAATCTTTTTAAAAATTTGTAATCTTTATTTGTTGGTGGGGAAGTATACGTATAGGTTGCCTTCAGTCACTTAAAGAATTTTTTTTTTTGATCCAGGGCCATGTAGACAGGCTGTAGAACCAAGGATGACCAACACCTGATCCTCCTACTTTTACCTTCTGAGTGTTGGTGTTATGCGTGTGAGTCACCACACTCACTTAGTGAAATTCTTTCCCTGGTCATTTTAAATAGGATTTTATAGGTAGAGAACTGATCAACATCTGCTTCAAAATTTGCCATTCATTTTATATCAAGAAAACTTGATAAAGAATTTATTACAGTGAATTTCTTTCATTTTTGAAAAGGTGTGTGTGTGTGTAATTTGTTTTGTTTTTGTTTTTCAAGACAGGGTTTCTCTCTGTAGCTTTGCGCCTTTCCTGAATCTCACTCTGTAGACCAGGCTGGCCTCGAACCCACAAAGATCCGCCTGCCTCTGCCTCCCAAGTGCTGGGATTAAAGGTGTGCGCCACCATCGCCTGGCGCTATATATATATATATATTTGTCTGCATGTGTGCCTGTACACAAAAGAGGGCATCAGAACTCCTGGTTATAGATAGTTGTTAGCTGCCATGTGGGTGCTGGGAATTAAACTCAAGACCTCAGAAAGAACAGCCAGTATTCTACCTACTGAGCCATTTCTCCAGGCCTTATTTAATTTTAGTGTGTATGTGTGTGCCTAAGTGTATGTCTGTGTATCATGTGCATGGAGGAGCCTGCAGAGGCTAGAGAGGGGTCAGCTAGTTATGAGCTGTCATGTGGATGCTGAGAATTGAAATGAGTCTTCTGTAAGAGCAACAAGTGCTCTTAACCACAGAGCCATCTCTCCAGCCCCTTAATTTTCCCCCCTTTGGCCCAGGTTGGCCTAAAATTCAATGTGTATATAGTTCAGATTGACCACAAACTTGCAGAAATCCTTCTGCCTCCACCTTCCAAGTGCATGAGCCACTATATTTGCTTTTTATACAGGGTGGTTGTAAAATCTAATGGCAACATTTATTTTATCTTATTTTTTGAAACAGGATCTCACTGTATATCCCTCACAGGCCTGTACTCTGAGAAGTCTACTTGTCTCTGCCTTGAGTGTTGGGATTAAAGGTGTACCACATGCCTGACAGCAACATTTATCTTTCTAAAACTCGAGAAGATAGGGAGATGGGCTTAGTGTGTAAAAGGCTGTCATCAAGCGTGAGGACCCGAGTTTGAATCCCCAGAATCCACGTAAATCCAGGCTCACTTGCTTGTATCCCAGCAAAATAGGAAGTAGAGACAGGAGAGATCCTGCTGTGTACAGTAGTGCACAAGAATTGCTTTTAACAAGGTGAAAGGCAAGTGCCTAGTTTGGCCTCTCATCTCTACCTATGCACGGTCCTTGTGCCCACATGTCATATACATAAATTTTGTAAATTCTAGAGCTGGGGATGTGGCTCAGTCAGAAAAGCACTTGCCACCCAAGCATGAAAGACCTGAGTTTGGATTCCTGGCACCAATAGCAGCGCCTGTCTGGGAGGCAGAGATAGGTATATCCCTTGGGCTTGCTGGCCAGTCAGTGTAGCTCAATCAGTGAGTGCTGAATTTGATGTTTCAAAAATAAGTGGAGAGGGGCTGGAGAGGGGCTCAGTGATTACGAGTGCACGTGCAGAGAGCTGCACTTCAGTCCTCAGCACAGCTGCTGGGTGGTGCGCACAATCCCTGTAACTACAGATCGGGGATCTGACGTCTTCTGGACTTACATACACACCCCCCAGAGATACACAGACATACTACATGATTAAAATAATATAAATGAATCTTAATTAAGGTAACAAGCATTTGATGAAAACAATGGCCTCTATATGCATCTGCACACATGCATCTGTACACCTTTCCCACTATGAACACATGTAAAAAAAATCCTAACGATTATTAGTTTCTGATTAATTATTAGGCTAAGTAGCTAACTAGCCTAAGTGGATGCTTAAATCAAAGTACTTCAGTGATTTCTCATTGAAACATCTTGACAGCAGAGACTTGCTTCTAAAATGTTTCTAATTAAAGACTACGTGGTTTCTCATTAACGAACGCACAGGATTCTAGTGGGATGACGCTGGTGATGCTGGCTGCAGCCGGAGGGCAAGATGACCTGCTGAGACTCCTTATCACCAAAGGTGCAAAAGTGAATGGGCGCCAGAAAAACGGGACCACAGCCCTCATCCATGCCGCTGAAAAGGTTTGAGACGTGACAGCATGAAGGGACACTGAGAACCTGTTTTTGTAGTGAAATATAATGGGCATATGTTACGTAGCCTTACTCTGTGGTTTCAGTGAGTCTGTGACACTTGAATTGATTTTTGCTATTAGCAGTACTTTTTAATCAGATTTAAAATGTGACTTACCCGGTTGGTAATTTATAATGAGTACAATCTCTAGTTACCCTGACAGTATTTATTTCAATCTTACGTGATTTAGAAGACTCACATGTAGAATTCTCACATGGAAGCCAGGGGTAGACTCCATGGCACTTGGTAACACATCAGTGAGGGGCCAGGCTCAGCAAGTGGGCACCTGTAGCCCTACAGTGAAGAGTCGGGGAGACAGTGGCCAGTCACCTGCGTGGAATAGAATCTGCTGAGTTTTTTCCTGATTTCAAAACATCTAGAAGACAGGTCTGTCTTTTAAGGAATTCTTGGAATTAAATGTGTCTCTTGTTTTTTAATAGAATTTTTTGACCACTGTGGCTATTCTTTTGGAAGCTGGAGCTTTTGTAAATGTCCAGCAGAGCAATGGTGAGACTGCACTCATGAAGGTAAGTCTTCAGTTTCACACTGGGTATTGATGTTGGTGCTGCAGACTGGGAACATCATAGGAACAAGGTGGTCCCTGGAATTGAGCAGCTCCCGTGGAGTAGACATGGATCAGCAGAGCAGTATGGTGGGGTCAGTGATGTATTAGAATAAGCTCGGTCTAAGGGACCCAGCAAGAGTCCTGGGGTGGAAGTGGTAGGCATTGAGTCAGGAGAGATGGAAGGGGCTGCTGGTGTTAAGTGAGAACACTCTGCTAGAAGCAGAAGGTACTGGAAAGAGGCAGAGAGATGAGATCCAGGGCTGCAAAGAGTGTAATTTATTAGAGATTTACAGATAGGTGCTTTGGGTGGATTCTCATTCCCCAAGACCAAGAAAGAGTTTATGTGCTAAGCTAGATGGAGACAGGCTTTTCCTAGAAGCAATTAGTATGTCGAATACCAGTCAAGAAACTGACATCAGAGGTCCATACATACTCAGCTGAATATAGCAGGGATTGGATAATTGTGCCAAAGGTACTCCAAAGATGCCGTGACTATACAACCAGGAATCCTGTAGTCACATGAAAGGGTGCTCAGCATCCATCTTCACAGGTTTAGAGGTCTGGGAATAGGAAAGGAATATGATGTACTCTCATTATTTTGTATTTGGCAAATCTACCTCCTTTGGAATTGTGGCTTGCAGACATATTTTGAGTTGAAGATTGTTGAATCTTCCTGCTGCTCCCAGCCTCCCTGCTTGTACCCTTTTTTGAGTGGTAGGTTGCATGTACCTCACTGGCCTCAGACCAGAGTGATTCCTTCCTCTGCAGTAGTTTGAGGTTTCTGGTTCATAGTGCTGCTAGGACTCAGCAGATCCAGGTGTCCATAAGTGACTCTGTCTTCTCTCTTCCCTGAGATACAGCCTTACATAAGCTGTGATCTAAGCAGGGATTTGTCTGTATTTGTCAGGTATGAGCAGTGAGGTGGATTGCAGTACAACTCAGGCTTGTCCTGAACCCTTTCTAATAACCAGGGTTCTTTCCTTCTCCTGGGCTTCCTGTCAGACCCTTAAGGCCTTGGTCATTGCTTTGTGAGGCCCTCCTATGCCTGATTTGAGTTTGTGTAAATAGTCCTTTTATTCAGGAGTCTTAGTCTTTGTTTGTGTGTCTGCTATTACCACATATGTAGACCAGAGGTAGCACTTCAGAGCACTGTCTTACTGAGAAACTACTAGACAGCAGACAGTTTCACCTCAGTAGGAGAAAGAGCACAGGAAGGAAAGTGCAGTATTTTCTACAAGACCATACAGGATTGTGAGTACTCCTGAGAGCACTTGGGAAACTGAGAAAGAAATACCAAGATTAAGGGGTAGGTTAATTCGGGAAGGAGGGTAGATTCAGGAAAAGACAGCCCTTTCAATGCTGGTTCTCCAGCATTTTAGGGGGTTGTGTTTGCAGAACATGGTGACAGGTAATAGCTGATTTTGCTGAGTTAGGGAACTCTGGCAGCCAGAGGCCAAGCAGGAGCTGAGTGTCCCTCTATGAGAGGGCACCATTGAAAGGTAAAACAGGGTGCTAGGAAAGATGGGGTGGGGCTGTAGATGAAAGTCTAGAGCCCAGAGAAGTGTCAGGGCATTTATCCTGGAGGCTACTCCTCCTCTCCGAAGCCTCTAGTATATATACTTCTTCAGTGCTGCCCTGTTGCTAATGTTGGGTAAGACCTGGCACTGGGTGTCTTCCCTTCTCTGTATTATGAAAAAGAGCTGCCAGGCCTGTGTGGAGAAACTACCCACACCAACTGAAGTTACTACGATTTACAATGAAGAGACTGCCACTCCTCTTTTCTGACCTAGGCATGTAAAAGAGGAAATTCGGACATTGTGCGCCTTGTGATTGAATGTGGAGCTGACTGCAATATTTTGTCAAAGCACCAAAATAGTGCATTGTACTTTGCAAAACAGTGTAACAATGTGCTTGTGTACGAACTGCTGAAGAGCCATTTGGAAACGTAAGTGTCAGGTGAATGTGCCATGGTGAAGTCAGAGGGAGAGAATGGCTGTTTATTTGAGCCATCATATTTGGAATAGTTTGTGTAGGAAAAATGTTCAAAAAAGATTATCCTGTTGGGTTGCTCTCCTCAGTAGAACATGTATTTAGCATATTCGTACAGCCTGCTAAAATCTTAGAAAACCCTGGGAACATCTCCTTAAAATGTTAAATCTAGGACTAGAGATGTAGCTCAGTAAAGTGCTTACCTAATGTGTGCAGAGCCCTGGGTTTAATCCTCAGGACTTCTTTAAACCAATCGTGGTGGCATGTGCTATAATAGCGTTTAGGAGTCTTGGCTCCTTGGCTACATAGCTAGTTCATGGCTGGCCTAGACTGTAAAGACTCTTTCTGAAAAGAGTTACATCCACTCTTAATTTGGCTAACATTGTGTGTGTATGTGTGGATGCATGCACGTGGAGACCAGAGGTTGATATCTGTGTCTTCCTCAATGGCTCTCTATTCAAGTGCATTATTTTTCAAGTGCATTTTGAACCATATTAGAAGTTTATCTTTCTCACTGAAGAATTCTTTTGATGTACTGGGGTGTGGTTCTGTGGTGGAGCTTTTGCCTAGCATGTGCTAAAGCCTCTGGTTCCATCCCCAGTACCACATAAACAAAATTCTTTGACAACACCTGCCAAAAACGCTGCTAGAGAAGATGGGGTCCTTATTATTCCCCCAGGTCCCTGGCGAGACAATCTGGAAGTAGCAGTCCCTGGCCTTCTGAGCTTGAAAACCAGACACCATGTATTCAAAACAGAAAGTAAAGTAAATTCTAGGCAAGGGACTGAGTTGCATCTTGCCTGGTGTGTGTATTTGACAGCCTGTCCTGGGCATTCCCATAAAGAATTTCTGGAAGCCAGTTCATCCCTTTTTTTTATTCTTTGAACACATGGGTAACTGCAGAGCGCCTGGCAGTGGGGTGCCCAGCCTTCTTTCCTCAGGACTAAGAGGCTCTCATTTCTAATTTTTCATTCATGCATTAGCCAAATGCTACGTGAATTTTGTGACACTGTTTCAAAGGCGGCCAGTATTATGGAGAAGACTGAGTAAAAGTTGCCCTTGTGCAACTACTGTTCCAACAAGAGGAGATGATGAAAAGGAAATTTAAAGGCCACCTTATGAGAGGGAAGTCAGCTGACGCCACAGTTGTAGTTCCTTTTCACAAAGGTAGTGCTGGGTTGTGTGGTTCAGGTATAATCCCAGCTACTTAGGCAGCTAAAGCATAAGGATTCCAAGTCCAAGCTCTACTTGGGCTACAGAAAGAGGTCAAGACCGGTCTGAGCAACGTAGTAAAATCCTATCTCAACATAAAAAGCAAAAACAGGCCGGAGAGGTAGGGAGCACGATGGAAGAATGCTTGATATGCACCCGCATGAACAAGGTGGGTGGCCATGGTCTTGTTCACACCTGTTAGCACAGCACTGCAACAGTGGAGACAGGAGGTTGCCAGGGGTGTCTGGCTACCAGCCTAACTGGTATATTCAAAGGGATAGGGCAGAGAGTGATGAAGATAAGATGACACACAGTGCTGTCCTCTGGCCTACACACAACACAGAATCAGAAAAAAAAAGCTGTTTCTAAAAGGGGAAGTCAGGACTAGGGATATGGCTTAGTGGTAGAGCACTTGTCTTAGCCATGTGCAAGGGCCTAGGTACTGCAAAAAATAAAATCAAAAAGTTATACAGTAGAGCTGAGTGGTGGCAGCAGCATACATCTTTAATCACAGCACTCAGGAGGCAGAAGAAGGCAGATCTCCGAGTTCAAGGCCAGCCTGGTCTACAGAGTGAGTTCCAGGGCAGCCAAGGCTACACAGAGAAACCCTGTCTCGGGGGGAAAAAAATAAAAGTTAAAAAGCAAAGTTAGTGGGAAGGCTTTATGGGCATAAATACATTTTTTTGTGGTTTTCTTTTACAGGAGGGGAAGAGAAGGCAGGGTCTCGTGTATTCCAGTCTAGCCTCACACTCACTGTAGCTGAGGCTGGCTTTGACCTTCTGACCTTCCTTGACTTCCTCCTAAGTACCAGGATTATAGATGCATGCCATCACACCTGATTATGTGGGGCTAGTGATCAAACTCTGGGTTTCATGCATGCTAAGCAAGCACCCTACCAACTGAGCTACATCCCCAACCCCTAATGTATATATTTTAAACTTTAATTGTACAGTAGGATACAGTATTATATTGATACAGTAAACAATGTGTAATGACCAAATTAGGGTAGCTGAAGTTTTTTCAATTTGTTGATATTTATGTGATACAGTGTAATTCAGGATATTTACATTAAAAAAATAGGGTCTCTCTAGCCCAGGCTGGCCTCAAACTCGGTGTCTATCAACATACTGAGTTCTGAGGTATGATTCACCATACCCAACTATTATATTAACAGTCTTCTGTCTTCTCTCACTAGACTTTCAAGAGTTGCAGAAGAAACAATAAGGGATTACTTTGAATCTCGCCTTGTTCTTTTGGAACCTGTTTTCCCAATAGCCTGTCATCGGCTCTGCGAGGGACCAGACTTCTCAACAGATTTCAATTACAAGCCCCCTCAGAACATACCAGAAGGTAAGTATATGCTCTCCTTCAGCCATGAGTGTGAAGCTCTGTCTGTAAGATGAGTTTATCCTCAGGAAGACCTTTACTTTGAAGGAACTCTTTAGCAGAAACCACTGTGTGATTGCTGGCAGAGCTGCTCTGGCCAGAGGCCTCCCCATCCCACTTTACCTACCACTGTGAGTCCTTGAAAATGTTAGGAGTTGGTTCTTGATGATTAGAGTTGTTTACTAAGTTTTACCTTTTTTTTATCTACTGGGTTCCCCCTTGTTTGGTTTCTTCTTTCATTTTGTTTTTTGTTTTTTGTTTTTGAGACAGGGTCTCACTGTGTAATTCAGCTGGCCTGGAACTTGCTATGTAGTCAAACTAGCCTTGAACTTGAGATCCACCTGGCTCAGCTTCCCTGTGTGCTCTACCATGCCTGGCTTGGGTTGTGCTTGTTTGTTTTTAATAGTATTGTTCCAGTACTCCTGTCTCGGCCTTCTGAGGCAGTCCCTGCTCCCATTAGAATGAATGACAGAGCTGTAAGCACTTCTGATGCCTGGGGGGTCATCGCTCTCCTCAGTAGTGGAGCTGCCAGGAAGCTGCCCTTGCCCAAGTGAGCAGCCTAGCTGTGCTCATGCAGCAACCGTAATTAAATGTAGTGGGCCATCAGAAACAAAAGTAGTCTGGCAATAGTGGCTCATACCTTGAATCCCAGCACGCAGAGGCAGGCGGATCTCTGTGAGTTCGAGACCAGCCTGATCTACAAGTCCCAGGACAGCCAGGGGTTTTACATAAAGAAACCCTGTCTTGAAAAACCAAACAAACAAAAACAAAACTAGGAGAGGGACCTATGGGGCAGAAGTGGTTTGGTGGGTGGGGGGAAGGGAATAAGAGCATAATGATGGAATATGATGGGGTGTATTAGATGAATAGATGAAGTTGTGAAGGAATAAATAAAAGCACAAGGGCTGACCTGAGTTCAGTTACCAGACCCCACGTGGTAGAAGAGACCTTCTCCTGAGGGCTGTCCTCTTGTCTTCCCATTTGTACCGTGGCACATTCAAGGAGGGCAGATAACATCATCTCTCCCTTTAAGTGGAAAATAGGGCCCTGGCTATTGTGTTAAACATCCTTTTCCTCAATTTAAAGATGTCTACTTAGGACTGGGGAGGTAATTCAGTAGGTAAGGCTTCTGCCACCAAGCCTGATGACCTAGTTTGATCCCTCAACCCCACGTGGTAGAAAGAGACAACTAGCTCCCAAAAGTTGTCCTCTGCCCTCCAAACACTGTGTATCACAGAATAAAAAGTTTTATTTTTAAATTTTTCTAAAAGCATTGCTGTAACTTACATCATAATGTGGTATTTATGAGTAGATTACTGCTACTGATAATGCATTTGGAGATTTCTAGGAACTAAAACATATTTATTTGTACATACAATAAATGCAAATATAGAGACAAATTTTTTAATGTGTATTCATAATCCAGGTGTGGTTATCCACACCTATCATCCTAGCACTTAGAACACTTTCAAATTACACATTTGTGTGCCCATGTGTGCATTCATGCCATGGTACATGGGTAGAGGTCAGAGGATAACATTGCAGGAGTCAGTTTTCTCCTTCACCATGTGGAGCCCAGGGTGGACCTCGTGGTCAGGGTTGGTCAGTAAGTGCCCTTTAACTGGAGAGCCATTGTTCTGACACACAAACACCATGTTAAACATTTTTTGTTTTTTCATTACATTTGCGTGGGTGTGCTAGTGCCAGGGTGTATGTGCATGTGAGAACAGTTTTGGGGAATCAGTTCTCTCCTCCAGTGTGGGTTCTCTGGGAGTCCAACTTTTACATGGTCAGGCTTGGCAGCAGGTGCCTTTACTCATGAGCCATCTCATGCAACCTTAGCACTTGTGAGGCTGAGACAAGAGGACCAATTCCAGTGCAGAGTGTTGACTTAATATGCAAAAAACCTGAGCTTGGTCCCCAGCCTAACATAAACTGTGTCTAGTGATATATCCACACTCAGGAGGTGGGGGCAAGAGAATCAGAATTTCATGGTTATCTTTTTGGATAGTAGTGAATTTGAAGATATCCTGGGCTACTTGAAATCCTGTGTCTCAAAAAAAAATTTTTTTTAAGGAAATACAACATTATTTATAGCCAATTGCTGCCTTGCTGACTAATGAATTTGGTTTAGTTTTATGTTTTTAGACTTAGGCTTTTCTTAAACTCCCAACAGTTTAACTCCCAAGTCGTTCCTCAGTCTCTTAAGTACTGGCCTTAGAGCACACAATATTATGACTGACTCATGATTGTTTTGAATATTATAGGCCGTATGCATTGCAGGGAGGGGGCATTTGGCTTGATTTTACCATGAATTATTAGATAGATATATAACTGGACCAACCACACGTACATAATTATTTTGTTTTGCTTTTCCTTACTTGCATGAAGAAACTCTACCATTCTTCTAACATCTTTTTATTTTGTCATCCTGAAATGTAAGGCCCTAATAGGCATAGAATGGCATTTCAGACAAACCCCTGGCCATTCTCTGTCACTCCATGCTTTCTAAGCATATTCAGAGGAGGTAGGGTATAGCTCAGTGGTAGAACATTTGTCTTAGCTTCCACAAGTTCAATTCCAAGCACCACCAAAAAAAAAAAAAAAAAAAAAAAAAAACTCTTTATTGATATGTAGGCAATGTAGAATTTTATATACCTCGAGAGGCTTTCGATTCTTAAGAACTGTAACAACTGGACTTGTTATTAGTCACATGAATTTCAGGCTCCCAAGATGGTTTTGTTGTTTGTTTGTTTTGTAGTTCTGGGGATAAGAGTTGAAGTGTGTGCATGTTACACGAGATGCTTACCACCAAGCCTGAGGCCTGGATTGATTCTGGGAGCCCACACAATGGAAGGAGAGAACCAGCTCCCATATGTAGTCCTCTGACTAGCATGCATTGATGTCAAATCATGTAAATTTTGTTTTAAAAACAGAGTAACTGAGGCTGGAGAGTGAGCTCAGCAGTTAAAAGTGGTTGCTACTCTTGCAGAGGACCTGGGTTCAGCTTCCAGCACCCACATGACAGACAACTGTAACTCCATTTTCAGGAGTTCTTAACCCCCTTTCTGGTCTCTGCAGGCAGCAGGTACACATACATACATGCAGGCAAAACACACACACAAAATGCTACCTTTAGTATAGACAGAAAAGTCATACATGAAGTCTCTTCCCTGGGGGTTACTGAGTTCTGTGGTGTGAACTGTAGGATCAAGTGCAAGTGCTGTGAGTGGGAGCCTTCTCAGTACAAGTGGCAGGAGGATCTACCAGGGACTGCCTCCTGTCAGCAGAGCTGACCCTACCCCCACACACTGTGATAGCATTAATCTCCTGCTCTCCCTTCTTCAGGCTCTGGTGTCCTGCTCTTTATTTTCCATGCAAACTTCTTGGGTAAAGAAGTTATTGCTCGGCTCTGTGGACCATGCAGTGTACAAGCTGTAGTTTTAAATGATAAATTTCAACTTCCTGTTTTTCTGGTAAGATTTTTCTGTAGTTCATTATTGAAAATTCTGATCAGAAGCCAGATGACTTAAGTTTAAGGTCTTTAAAATGTCTGTAGGTGCTTTGAGAGCCTTTGTGTGGGTGTGCACACCATACATACACACATCCTACACACATACAAAAAAATGTTCATTCCCACATTAGACTAGGACAATTCCCATTTATTATAAAAGAAAATAATCCAAATTTTGTTTTAAAATATTTAATGTTTACCTATTTATTTACATTAATGCTACCAATGTCTTAGAACCAACCTTCTGACAATAATTTCTTAGCCCTGAGAACTTTTTACATGAGGCCAGAATATGAAGTGGTTGTGTTTATGCTTGTTAATTAGTGTATCCTCTCTTGATATAAAGGAATGCTTTTTGGTATGATTTGGTTGAAATAAAGCCATCATCAAACCTTAACTCCTGATACTCTTACGTAATTGCTGAGTATCAGAATTCTGTGGTCAGTCATGTGTGTGCACCATCACTCCTAACTTAAAAGGAAATTGTTTATTGTGCCAATTTGGAATTCCTTCCTAAGGCTAAATTAACATGGTTAGTCACAGTCATATTTCTTCTGTTTGAGATGGGGTCTCAGTATGCAGCCCTCATAGGCCTTGATCTTGCATTAATCCTCCCATGTGCTGAGATGTTATCTCCCCATCTCCCAGACAGGGTTTCTCTGTGTCGTTTTGGTGCCTGTCCTGGATCTCACTCTGGAGAGCCATCCAGTATCAGGCTAGTCTGGGCTACACAGGGAGAGCCTATCCCAAAATTTAGAGAAAGAAAAAAACCCTCAGTTCTCTGGTTTCTACTGTAAAAGGTTCTAGGGTTTGTAGATGTCACAGATGTGAGTCTATCTGACTTTATTTTCTCTTTTCCCTCCAGGATAGTCACTTTGTTTACTCATTCAGCCCTGTGGCCGGCCCTAATAAATTGTTTATAAGGTTGACGGAAGCACCCTTTGCCAAGGTGAAAATCTGTTTCATATTTGGGATTACTGCTCAAGTAGTCAGTGCACAGGGTACGGATGGGTCTGAATGTTGGCACTGAGGCAGGTGTGTACTGCATACCTGGCTGAAAGTCAAGTCTGAGGGCATCCCTGCTGAGCAGTCCAAATCCTGACTTCCATATGAAAGGAAGCTGGACTTTTAAACCATTCTTAATGGTTATTGTGTAATACAGCAACTTGTGGGACTGTTTTTACTAAAAATAGCAGTACCCCAGTGTTTAGGTGTGCACTAACATTCATTTTTCTTCTTTAGGTTAAGTTGCTAATAGGTGCATACAGAGTGCAGCTGCATTGACCACAGGACTGCAACTGTGTAGCAGTTTGGAATTCTGGTGTACCTGAAATGTTCAGATGTAGTTTTCCCTGTAAACTTGCAATTTAAACCTGTTGCCTGGTAAGGTACAACAGGGGCTTCACCATACATACTCTACATGTGTTTGTGCCATTGTTCAAAATGTTCAATGTTCTGCATAGTTTTATTTCCACAATGTGGAACAGTACATATGAGAACTATTTAATTAAAAACTTTTGAACTTGAAATTTTCTACTAGTCTCTGTGAGTTGTCTTTGAAGAACAAAACAACAACAACAACAAAAAAGAATCAGATTCAAGCTGGGCCATGGTGGCTCCTGGTTGTAAGCCTAGAATCTAGGAGGCCGTGGCATGAGTTCAGGGCCTCCCATGCCTACAACATGAGCTTTTCTAAACAATTCAGGTGTAAACCATTTACTAAGTTGAAGTTGATGCTCTTGAACTCTGCATGTCATCTTTTGAAAAGGTGAGTCAGTTACAGTCCCATCACTTGTGTTCTGGCATGTGGAAGACAGAATTTATACATGTATTAAAGTATCTGAAAAAACCTAGCCCATGGCTTTGTACAGTGAATACACTAATAAATTTACTGGTGAAGTGCATAAGAGGCAGGAGGATTAGCTCAAGGACATCTTTGGCTACATAATGAGTTAGGAACTAATTAATTGTAGAAATGTGTCCTGTGGCACATGATTGCTTATAAGGATAAACTGCAAAATAAAGTTTTCTGGTCTGCTGCTGTCTGGGACATTCGGCGTTTTTCTCAAAGCATGCTGTGACCTGTAAGAGACAAATCTTCCATCAGTAAATAGGAATGTTATACATGTACATACAGGCATTGTGTTCTGGTTTTTAGAGAAGCTCTTCCTACATTATATCTGCTGGCTCAGACCTGCTTCAGGATTATTGGCATGTTCTGCCATGCCTGGGTCACAGTGTGTCTGTCTGTGCTTTTTAAGAGGTTTCAGCCCTCAAGAAAATAATTTGTTGAACTAGAATCACCAAGCAGCAAGCCATAAAGTCAATACATTTTTTTTCCTATTCAGTGTTCTCTAATCCTGTGGCTAGGTACACAACATCCAGTTTTCCTCCTTTCCTGGCTCTCTTGGAACTCACTATGCAGATCAGACTGTCTTCAAACTAAAAGAATCTCCCTCTATCTCCAAGTACACCAACAAGCCGTTTTTTTCTTTAAAAAAAAATCAAGCTGGGCGCCTTTAATCCCAGAACTGGGGCAGAGGCAGGCAGATCTGAGTTCAAGGACAGCATGGTCTACAAAGTGAGTTCCAGGACAACTAGGGCTGTTACATAGAGAAACCTTGTCTTGAAAAACCAACAAAACAGGTTTTCCCAAGTATAAGCATACATGAATCATAACCAGTGAAATGGCATTTTCATGTCTTTTGTCATATTTAAAGGTACATTTGATATTTTAGTAATTTAACTTGATTTACATTTTATCTACTATAAAGCAGGTACTTTAATTAATGACAAGTCCACTTACAATCTTTAAAAAAAAAATCTGTATTTTCTCCCTCTTTGAAGGCCACATAGGCCGGGGGGTGGTGGCACAGCCTTTGATCCTGTGGATGTGCTTCTCAGGTTTCAAGCATCACCCTCACTGCTGGTCAACAGCACCACACCTGAAACAGCCAGAACAGGACAGGAACACCAGAAAATATTAAGTATTTCTATAAAAATCTTATATTGTTGGCATAACAAAACAGAAAATTGATGATTCTCTCTTAAACAGATGATAGAATGGAGCCAGTGTCCCTAGCATATGTACATCTATATTTTACATTACACAGCATTTTAATATCATACTTTCCAAAGGAACATAAGGTACAAGTTGTAAACTGGGCTGAGAGGAGCTCTGAGAGCCAGCGGCTGGAGCAGCATGACCAAGCTTGTAGGTGTACCTGAGCAGCGATCTTGCAAACAGGTGCGTGTCTTCAGACAATTCCGTTCCAAGAATGTCTCTATAGATTCCTGCCAAAAAAAGATATGTCTGAATCAGCTCATACAAGAAGACCCTAGACATTTCCATTCGAGATATCCAGCTACCCATGCACACAATGCTATGGGGATATTTAGCAGAGAGGACCTGAAGTGTGGCTCTCTGTCTGGCAATGGGAAGGTTCTGGGCCTATTTGCTCTGATTAAACTGAAGTCTGGACTCAAATATTCTGTTGACCACATGGACTAGCAACTAATTCCCAAGATCAAGGACAGAGACGATTTTGTAGATGATGGAGAAAGAAAGCTTTCCAGGCAACCATTTCAAATCTTCAAAATGTGGGGGTGCTTCACCACGGTCTCCAAGGAGAGCCACCCCATGGATTGCCCAGCTTGATGCATGAGTGAGATGAGGCAGCCTACCGGGAGCTTGGGGCCACAGCGAGCGCTTTGGGTGCTAAGCTTCATCATAGGCAGCAACCCAAAGAAGAAAACCCATGTACGTACGGATTTTGAGACTAGAAGGAAAGGACACTTTTTCTTTCTTTGAAATAGGGTCTTCCTATATGTAGCCCTGGAGGTCCTGGAACATACACACACACATTCCCCTTTGTAAGTAAGAACCTGTTGGTGTGTCATTTCCCTTACTCCAGTATACCTGAAAACTATAGATGTGATACTCACAGGATGGAGGGAGCAAGTAAGGAGCAGAAAACATCCTTCTCAAAGACAGGACAACACAAGCATTGCCTCGGTTGCCTCACGGACACAGGTGGCGTTATAAGGTTTCAGCTCAAACTCTAAACTGTATTCCAAGAGCAAAACATTGGGGCCTGGTGGTGTGGCACATATCTTTAATCCCACCATCGGGGTGAGGTGGGGCTGGAAGTGTAGATGAACTCCAGGTTAAACTGGTCTCAGTCCCTAGGCCAGCTAGGGCTTCATAGTGAGATACCATCTCAACCAAAAAAGAAAGGGAAACACTGGAACTCTGCCCAGGTGTCTATCAGTGGTAGGCCATTTACATGGGCAAGGCTCTGGGTTCAAAGCCACAGGACCACCAGACACAACTGAAAAGAATCTAAGTGGCTAGCCAAGTGGTGGTGGCACACACCTTTAATGTTAGCACTTGGGAGGCAGAGGATCTCTGTGAGTTCAAGGCCAGCCTTGTCTACAGAGTGAGTTCCAGGACAGGCTCTAAAACTACACAGAAAAACCCGTCTCAAAAAAGAAAAAGAACAAAAAAAGACTGCTCTGGAAAGAGACTGGCTGCTCTTCCAGAACGCCCAGGTTTGATCCCTAGCACCCACATTTAGGTTCACAACTGCCTGTAACTCCAGTTCCAGAGAATCTAATGCCCTCTTCAAGCATTTGTAGGCATCGGGCACACATGTAGTGCACACACATACACGATGCAAGCAAAACACACTCATACACATAAAAATTGAAAAAAAAAAAGTCGAAGTCCAGTTTGGGCTACATAGTGGGTTACATAGTAAGACTGTCTCAACCCAGACCACACCAACACAGGGACTGTTATTACCTATGCCAATGCTGTAAGCACAATCCACAAGGAAGGGCCTTTTTCCAAAGGGAAGAACCACCAACTGATCTAAGGCAGTGGTGCGAGCCTAGCATTCCTGGCTTTTAAACTCTTCTGTATGTGGCTGGACTTCCAGCAATTTCATGTTGTCTTAACAACCTAAGAAGAGAAAAATAAGAGTTTAGCCCTTTAAAAAACAGACATTGTGCCGGGCAGTGGTGGCGCACGCCTTTAATCCCAGCACTCAGGAGGCAGAGCCAGGCGGATCTCTGAGTTCGAGGCCAGCCTGGGCTACCAAGTGAGCTCCAGGAAAGGCGCAAAGCTACACAGAGAAACCCTGTCTCGAAAAACCAAAAAAAAAAAAAAAAAAAAAAAGACATTGTAACTGATCTCTTGAAAGTTCCCAACAGTAATCAAGACTTCAATAAGATACCACTTTGTGTTGCATGGCCTACTTTTATTTTGAAAAATTATTTTGATTTAGAGGATAATTTCTCTGATTCCAAATCTTCATTTCCTTAAACAACACTGGCTGAATTAAGATTCAGATTAATTTCCTACCATGGCACTAAACTCTATATACCCTAAATTCTAAAAGAGATTCAAATCTGCTAACAATTGAAAATTTTTATGTCCATTTATACTTTTGTGTGTCGGGGGGATATGCTATACAACACAGGTCAGGAGACAACCGCTGGGGGACATTCTCTCCTTCCAACATGTCAGTGCAGAGGTCAAACTCAGGGGTCAGACTTAGCAGCAAGTGCCTTTACCCACAGTCATCTTGATTGTCCACTTTAAAAAGAGAAAAAAGAAAAGCTGGGCAGTGGTAGCACACGCCTTTAATCCCAGCACTCAAAAGGCAGAGGCAGGCTCTGTTAGTTCGAAGCCAGCCAGGTCTACAAAGTGAGTTCCAGGACAGCCAGGACTACACTATGGCAAACAGGCAACAATCTGAGGGGGGGGGGGAGTCATATTTGACTAGAAATCTTAGGAACTTTGCCCTCCCCCTCCCCCAAGATTTAATTTTTTTTTATTTTATTTATTTATTTATTTGTGTGTGTGTGTGTGTGTGTGTGTGTGTGTGTGTGTGTGTGTGTGTGTGTACAGATTTGGAGGAGTTTTAAGTTAGAAGTACATAACGACAAATGCTGGAACTGCCTTCTGAAATGCTGCTGAGGTCTAAAATCTGACATAAGAAATAGTGCCCCAAACTCAAATCTGGATGGAATGAATATTCATGCAAAAAAGGCTTACAAAGTTCTGCGAGTGCTCACTGGAGACTCACAGAACTGCTACTATGTACCTTGATGAAATCATGGTTTCTATCATTTTTTAAGTGTGCCATAAATGAAATCAAATAATTGTATTGGAAAAGTGTGGGAAGGGGGCATCTCTAAGCACACCAAAAGTTCAGCAAGGGCATTTTTATATTCTCAGATACACAGTACCATGCATACGCCTACGACTGCAAGAGTATTAAAGACACCTTAGTTCTAGGAAAAGTGCCACTCTCTTCCACTGCACCATTCTCCGGGCCTTTGAATATAATATACGTTACAAGAAGATAACTAAAGGAGGCCTGTATAAAACACATAATACACACATCCCAATACTATGGAGGCTGTTATTCAAATTACATGTGAACAGTAAAACTAAGGGTATTTAAAGGTATTGAATTCCTGCTATAAAGCAACCTCAAGAAAGGTGACATTTCCTGATGTC